TATATCAAAATGTATACTCTTACATGGAAGGGAAGATTTGACTAAAGTATATCTAATAATTTAGTTATCTAGACGCAGATCTGAAAATAATTCTGTTGGTAAAAATATAATTACGTAGGAATTTCAAGTATAGTAAACAATACTGTCCCTACACACACAGACACATAATATTAAATAATATTTTAGGCATATTTCCAAAATATTAAATGTAACACTTGAGGAATATTTTAGTGAAATTATATGATATTAAATAATATTCTTGAAATATTAATGAATGGTTATATATATATGTCCACTCCTGATAATATTACATTATTATTAAAAGTAATATTATTTAGTGTAATATTGTATGAACATTAACAAGTATCATTTATTTTAATTTGTAAAACTATTACATCAATTCAGTTTAAATATATGTTTAAAGACTGCAAATAATTTTGGTGTGCAGTTGTAAGACTGGAAATGTACATAAAATGACATTGAAACGTTATTTAAACATAAAACGCAGCATAGATAACAATTAATAAAAATGATAAAACTTTCGTTACTGGATTGTGATTTCGAACTACACTAATATAAAAATAATTAATATTAATAAAGATTTTAATAATATTTCAGGGATGTTAAAGGAAATATACAAAGAATATTTATACAAGTGGACTTATAATATCCATAAAATATTTTCATTAAAAAATATTGTACAATATTCTCAAAAAATATAATAACTTATTTTAATTTTTTTATGATATTTATATAACATTCTAGGAATATTTTGCGCTTATAGAGGCAAAGCATTGTTTACAGCATTGTTCACTATATTTGAAATTATAAAAAGAAGTTATATAAGAAGATGGGTCAAAGAATACGAAAATTACTTTATGTATAATATAATATAATTATATATAAAAATATGCATAGAGTTGTGTATGAGCAATTTTCCTTAATTGGAATCATATGATGCTCGATTTCTTGAATGATAATTCAAGGAGCTTTACAGCAAGAGACACAAATTGGCACAAGAGTCATTCTGTCCTTGTTCAATAATCAATAAGATTCAAAAACGGAATAATTCTTGTGTCGATTTGTGCCTCTGCTGGAAAACTTCCATGCGCATACAGTTATACCTGCTCTAATGTATGCTAGAACTCGTTCATGCATTGAGCGCTGCATGTAAATGATTTTTATATTTATTATGGATTACTTCATAACTTATTTTCTTGCATGCACCAATCAAAAGAAACAATTGTTAATTTCATAGTTATTTGTCAAACGTCAGACTGTATGCATCAAAACAAACATACACGTATGCATGCATGTTTTCGGGCAAAAAATCGAGCATCGTGTGATTCCATCTTTACATTTCTCCAAACTTGATTTTTTTTAAAACAAATAGTGTGAAAATTAATCTCTTTTAATTATTTTTATAATATTTTCACATTAGTATTATTATTTCTATTGCACTAAAAAAATAATTATACAAAAGAAAAAGGAATATATACGAATATATTATTTCACATATGATTATATATGTTTATATAAATATTTATGTATGTTTTTATACATATTTATACATATTTATATATATTCATGTGTAAAAATTTTTTACTGGTAATTACGTAAATTCGCTTTAATACGTCTCAGCATATTACATGAAAATAAAATTTTAAAGACTTGTGTTGTTACAGCATTCAGTTGGAGTTACTATTTCTTCCTATTCCCAATTTATATCAACGTTAAAATTATTATTTTTCAAATCTTATCGTGTATGTTTTACATACGTCGTTTTTTCTTATCACTTTCGTCGCGCATTATACGTTCTAGTCATTTGATTTTTGCCGTAATTTCGATATATTTAGATTTATAAAATGCAATATATCATAATTGTATCTTTTTTTTTTTTGGTAAAATTCCTAAACATGTTGAAAGACTAAAAAACAGCTCTGCCAAGAGCTCCCCTCCTTTATCCTCTGCTTTTCTTCCGCGCAGGTACATGTTCGGCATGACACACTTTCACGATGTAGCCGCTCCTGGTACACGGCGTTAAAGCTAATATAATTCCGTTATGCAGTCGAGACGTGGCAGTTTATGTGTGTCTCTCAGTAAGTTCGGTTGTACTTGCCCACGGTTGTAAAATGAGCGATCGCACTGTAGTGATTGTGTCTGCTGTAAGGACACCCATAGGTAATAATAACACTAATAACGAAATACGCAGTTAGTACAATTCTGTATAATAATTTGCAATGTTAAATTATTGAAATTTAAACAATTGCGAAATTTGAATTTGAATAGTGTCAGTGAAATAAATTTCTACGATATTTTGCGCAAAATTCTCCGAAAAGCGATAAAAATTTAATAAACCCATTCCTGGAGATTCATTCAGGTTATATTTTTTGTGATTAATGTATCAAAATACAAATATAAGGGCTGGGAGCACATTTGAAATACTTTTATTTTAAACCTAATATTTGTATTTTGTATTTCAAAGATTGAAAGTATTTTGTAATTTATAATTCAAATAAAATAAGATTTATCAATCTTAGTATTTAAAACACAAAACATAAAATACAATTGTGTAACAAATACAGTTTTTTCAAATAAAAGTATTTTAAATATATGCCCAGGGCTAAATACGATTATAGATACATTAAAAATACTATAATTGTGGAATCAAAAATAGTTTGTAAAAACATAACGTGCTAATATTAAAAATTGTGCTGTGCACCAAAGAAGCGAATTTACATCTTATTTGATTCCATAGGATATTATTCCTACAGAAAATGCTATAAATGTAAAACTTTTATTTGCAATAATTAAATTTACTATTCTATAAATGTAGGATCATATTGTGGGTCCTTATCTTCATTGAAAACATCAATATTGGGAAGTATCGTTATCAAGGAATGTTTGACAAGAGTTGGACTGAAAGGATCAGATGTTTCTGAAGTTATTATGGGACAGGTACTCATAATTCTAGAAGAAATAAAGCATTAAACTATATATATTTTTAAGTACAATTAAATTCATATACATGTAAGGTATTTCTACCTAACATATTGCATTTTTTTCAGGTACTTTCTGCAACTGAAGGACAAAATCCTGCAAGACAAGCAGCAATACATGCTGGCATACCTATCGATGTACCTGCTTATCAAATAAACATGTTATGTGGTTCCGGTCTAAAGTATGTCTATCTGCTCTACATGTGATATAGGTTTGTTTTTTATTGCTGCACTTTCCTTCTCACTCTTGCCAAATATTAAATATAAATGTATTTCACTTTAAGAGTACAAAGAGTGTACACTAGTTCAGCTATAAAAAACAGACTTATTTCCATATTATACATATAGTTAAGAAAAAAATCACCTGAACTACTTAATGTAACATATTACATGTCTTACAGATCCGTAATGAATGGTTACTTTTCTATAAAGTTAGGGGAAAGCGATATAGTTGTGGCTGGTGGTCAGGAAATTATGAGTCGAGCACCACATGCCACTTATCTCAGGTCTGGTGTGAAAATTGGAAGTTGCAATTTAGTTGATACACTATTGGAAGATGGTCTAACAGATCCCTTTCATAATATTCACATGGGAGTCACAGGTAAGACAAAACAATATTATAATTAAATATTTTTGCACTAGGAAAATTTAAATTTTATGTATTATTATTTTTATTATCAATTATTGGCAGCTGAGAATCTTGCTGAACAGTATAAAATAAGCAGAGAGGAACAAGATTATTACGCGTGCAAATCTCAACAGAAGGCAGAGATTGCTATCAACGCCGGATATTTTGATAAGGAAATTGTTCCAGTAACCGTTACAAGCAAAAAGGAAACTTTTGTTGTATCTAAAGATGAATTCCCAAAATTTGGAACGACCACAGAGAAACTTGCAAAATTAAAACCAACATTTATACCGGTATGTACATATAATATTCTATATATCTATAAATATATAATTGTGTAGAGAAAAGATAACATGCGTTTGAAATCATTATATTGCATTTAGAGTAATGGTACAGTTACTGCCGGCAATGGATCCGGTATAAATGATGGTGGGGCTGCCCTAGTGCTCATGTCTGAAGAAACTGCTGCAAATAGAGGAATCTCACCGCTAGCCAGTATTGTTGCATTTGCACAGGTTGGAGTTGAACCTAAAATTATGGGCATCGGACCTGTTGAAGCTGTTAAATTAGTAGTTAGTATATCGCATTTATGTTTTGATTACTTTTATTTCAACACGATATTATGATTTAAAGTGTGCACTTATATCAGTTAAAAAAAGCGAACTGGACAAAAGAGGAAGTGGATTTTTATGAACTAAATGAGGCCTTTGCTGCACAAGCAATCGCATGTATTCAAGAACTCGGATTAGACATTGAGAAAGTTAATGTAAATGGCGGTGCTATCGCCTTAGGTCATCCTATTGGTATGTCAGGTATGTATTAATGCTTGAACTTTCTTTCAAAAAACTCAAAAAAAATTTTACGATAAAATTTTATATTTTAGGCACAAGAATACTAGTCACTCTATTACATACTTTAGAAAGAACAGGAAAGAAAAAAGGTGTTGCATCTTTATGCATAGGAGGGGGAATGGGCATTGCCATTGCTGTTGAAAGAAAATAACGAATGTCTTCTCTATTAATATATATAAAATTTCTTATATTCTTATTAAAGCGTTTCTCGCTAAAAATGGCCTTCTTCTTATGTTATACATTGAATAAAGGGATCTATTATAATATTCGTACATTGAATTGTGTGATAGAATATTTATTTTGTGATTCCTTTTTTAAAAATATATGTACATTTCATAATAAAATTTTGTATAAAAATGCAGAAATGTAAATAACATAAAATATTATAAAACTGAGCTGTCGAGTTTAAAGTACAAACAGTAAACCAAAATAAAAATGATCATATACTTAGGCAATACACAATAAAATCAGAATTTATGAGTCTCATTTATCTTCACTTTTTGTGGTTTCGTCTTTTGTTGTATTCCTATTCTCTAAAATTTTTTCTACAGCTGCAAGGCCTTCCTGTTGTCGCTGCTGAGCATATTTTGTTTTGAAAGTGCGTTTCTTATCTTTCCAAGCAGGTCGGCTTAGTTGATTTAATTGTTGCTTGATAGCTGGGATAATCCGTATCTTAAATAATAATATACTTAAATTAGATAAAACGCGTAAATTTAAAATTAGTTGCTCTATTTTATCAGAGATTACGGTTTTTCAACAATAGAATAAAATGTACGAATGTATATTATATTCAAAAGTCTTACAAGCTAAGCACTTAAAACTTTCCTAATACTTGTAAAAATTTTTTAAGCTAAAATTGTTTATTACGAACGATATATTTAATCCTAATATTTTCATTCTTATATTACATGGCTGATACACTAAGTGGTATAGCAGGATAATATCCGCGATATAACTTTCCATCCTTGTCAAAGCAAGGAATAGGTTCCTTCAATGGTTTCTGTGTTACCAAACTGATATCTGGTATACATAGCTTCGTGTGTTTCTTTATTATATGGCCCCATAAAGAGTCTACATTAATCGTCGAATCTTTTAAGCAAAAATAAGACCCCCAGAGCTTCGAATTTAATATTTTTTCGTCTGGATGAGTCAAAGCATGATGAAGCATTCCTTCCGACATTTGTTCTTCAATCACAGCCAGCGTATCACAACGTACGAATGCATTTGGTACATAAATGTCTTGTATGAGATTATCGCCTATGTACAAACATTGCTGATTAGTTTTCCCTGTTATACGAGCAAGAAATTCCAATAGTTCATTCCAGTTTCCTTGACTATACATTTCACCTCGTTTTAAATCTTGACTCGCGGTATTGGTTTCGATATTATTTACAACATTGAAAAATGGTCGATTATTAATAAAAAATCCTGGCTTCTTTGCGAAACATACTACAATATCAAAAAGTGATTGCCAGTCCTCTCCGAGAGCGTAACTCGCAGTAAAACTCACATAATCCGCATTTGATCCAGTAAGAAGAAAAGTCGCGGATTTTTTCTTTATTTCTTTCAACCACGAGATCGTGTTCGAGCTGCATTTACGTAGATATTTCTCCGGATTTCTCTTGATGTGTCCAAAGATCCCCTTGCTCGATTGGAAGTGCTCTCTAGAGAACATGTAGACCAGCCCAGCCAATATGTCAGGCCAGATATTGTATTTGTCCAAGGGTGATCCGTGTTCTTCGTCGAGTGTGTTTACAATCCGTGCAAACACGAGACTCGTCACTATATCGAAATAATCCAGCAAACTCCTGACTTTCTCTGACAGAGGACCATTCCAGGTTGCCATTACGTCGCGGCAGAAGGTATCAGTGATCTCTGATCTTTGTTCAGGATATATTTCTCTTATTTGATCCATGTTTAGCAAATACGTACCATGGCATGCTCTGCGAATAACACCATCTGGGCTTATCCTAAGCACGTTTCCCCTTTCCATGTCCAGCAATAACCCTTTCTGCATGAAGTCCAAGTCATCATCCGTCAGTGGTTTTAACAGATTCTCGTTGTATCCCCGTATTTCGACCAGGTATCTGGCTAGCATCTCGTACTCCATGCACACTAGATTCGTGACGTTATAACGCAACAACGTGTTATCCAGGTCGAAACCGATGCAATCATAGTTTGTGAATTTGAACGCATCCATGTCGCTTTTGGCGGGATTACCACACGCGTAACCATACCGGTCGTTAGAAATCGAACACATAGTTGTACCAGGAAATATTTCTATTTTATCAGTCACTTGTTTCACTTGTTTGCGTATAGAAGAGTGTCTGTGTTTATATAACTTGACAGTACGATAAAAACTCAGGTTTCTAATCATATCCAAGCACAATCATTACCGGCATCAATCATGTTAGGCGATAGCAATGAATGTACGTTAGCATGATGCAGTTGAATTTAGCAGGTATGAATAAATGGAGCGGCACATGAGCCGGCAATTACAGGGACTTTTTCAGAGTCAGACTGAGCAACTCTGAAGTAAAAAATACCCTAAGCTCTAGATATTCTAAATACTTCAATGTCCCGAGTACGCTTAGATAAGTAATTCGAGGAGCGAGCGAAAGGCCGGCTTTTCTAGTCACGAAACGCAACATAACCTCAACGTGCGATCGATCATTCGTACGCTTCACTCTCGCCAAGCCGGGACAAGATTCTCGACATGGAGATAGTCATCGTTAAAGGAGAAAAGGATTTCGATGCACTCACATTCATTGGCACGTGGACGCTGCGGATGTTACGTGCCTGTACGAAGAACATGTCATATTTGAACGAGTCTCCACGGGGATCCGTAAACACGCAGTCTTTCATCACAATATTCATGTATCTGCAAAATGAAAACGAGAGCAATATGTTCAGAGATATGACGAAGTCATCGAAAAGAGCTCTAATAATTTATTTCGGAGTTCAATTGCTAACATTTTCGAGGAAAGAATTTAGGGATATCGTTGGTTTTTTCGATTTTTATATGTATTTTATCATAAAAAAAATAGAAAATTTCTTAATACAACAACGAGCTCTATAAGGCCCGGTTTCACCAACGTAAGATTAACTTTAATCTCGATTCATTCTAAGCATTTTTAATTAGAAAAAGATAAACACAAACAGTAAGTTAAAACAAGATAAAATTAATCTTACATTGGTAGAATTAGGGGATGCATTCCGTTTCACATATTATACATCATTTAGCTATAGGTCTGTTTTTTAATGCTGCACTTTGAACGAACGTATATTTGTTTCACTTTAACTTATTGTATTGTGTGTATTGATTCAGAAAGTGCAGCAATAAAAAAACAGACGTCTTGTTGTTTACCAATTAAACGAGGATAAATGAAGCATTATGCACATCACGCTTGAATACATCCTAGGCCTAACACGTACGACAACTTCACATTGCAGCAGAAACAAAACCCTTTACTTACGCGTCCGCATTTTCGACAATACCGACGATTGTCGCCTCGTTCCGCAGGTCTACGGTCGTTCGAGTCTTCTCTACAGCCTTTAGTAGGATCGACAAAGTGTTATAGAGAAAGTATTGTTCACGTCTCGAATCATAAGGCATCACGAATGCGAGCGTGAACTGTACGTGTTGAATGGAACATGCAACACGTGGGAAATTTTCGTCTGCTCTGTTTTCGTTGCTGAGAACCATGTGATGGGATCACGTGACGACTACGTGACAGTCGTGCGCAGAAACGCGGGAAATTGAGAACGCGTGTTGCATTCAGTTGCATTCGTACGTAGAACATATCGAAGGTTATGGTATTATAAAATATATATATATATATATAGCAAAATATATATATATTGATTTAGTTTAATTTATCTTTAATTAACTTTGTCATTCTTTTGATCGCAGTTTTGCCATTATACAGCGTAATAATGGATTGTTTAAACAGTAAATGATTCGATCATCCTAACTGCGAAATGTTTGTGTATGTGGATTATAGAAAATAGAATTATATTCATTTTGTCTGAATTATATTTAATAGAATTATATATTTACTTTATCTGAAAATTATTAAAATCGCTTTCATGTAGATTCGTATAGAGGCATATTTATTCAATTCACAGTATCGCATTTATATTTAACTAATCTAACATTTGGAATCAAGCAACCAATCGAAAAAATTTAATTCTACATAATTATTAAACATTTAGCTTTGTAAATCAAAATGTAACAATTGTAAACATGACTTTGAAATAAATTCAGTTAATTCATAATTTGTTTTAAAATACAAATAGCGATAAATTGCATGAGATAGATAGGAAATGAAATCGAATTTATGCAAATGGAATGCACGAGCGACGACAATTGTAACTCAATTTTCCTCAAATACATTAATTAATTCTATCTCGAATGGCTCGCTCTTTCGCTCAGAAGTTACGGGATGTTAAACGCGTTATCGTGGGGAGATTCGATTTGTCTTCGTATTATACTACCACCGTAAACCCGATGTTAGTCTATATATAGTCACTCATATAGCCGTCATTGCTAGAGGAATTAGGTTACTTCCCAACGGATATACAAAGGGGTCTTGTAAATGGTCGTATCCTACATGCATCTAAAACAATTACGCGCAAATATTTCCGCGTAACTGTTATCTTTTACTCACTGTCAGGTTCACGAAACTTTGGAAATCAATGATTTCAACCGAAATATGTTTGCAAAAGCTGAGTAGAATATAATTAATGTATGTAACATATTATGATTCTCTACAAATAAAATCTCAGGAAACATTTTGATATCTTAAATTCATCTAAGAGATGTTTTAAAATTTCGTAGACGTCTTATGAAGCTAACAGAAAGACATCATATGATGTTTTTAAGATGTCTAATTTAAATTTTAAATATCCCAGCAAATAGCAAAGCGTGTCTCGGCAAAATCGCACAGATCTGTGATTGCTTATGATGCTAGTAACTTGCCGTATTTGCCTTCAACGAATTCGAATATATCGACATTGTAATAACATGCAGACAACAATGTGTATACGTATTGTCAGCAGTTTAACAGCAAGATAACTGCGTCAATGTTATTTTGCGTTGTCGGCAATATGACAGTATTGTATGATGCTGCATATTATTATGACAACATGATGACAATAGTACGAATTTTGATGATGACGATTTTAAAGTTGTCGACAAATTGCTGGCATCAAATTGCCAACAAATGAGGACAGTTGTTACAATTCTGGTACAATGCATACTTAGCAAGCAATATGTCAGTACAGTAATAAGACATACACGTTGCTATTTGGATAGGTGTAATTTTGGTCAGAATAATACAGTAGAAAAATTAGTTAGAAAAGAAGAACGTATAAGCTAAAAAATCGCTTAATATAAATTAACAGTTGATATTAACTATATAATTTGATGACTTAATTAAATTAAATAAATTACAATAATATAACAATGGATTATTGGAGCCAATACGCCAGTTGTTTTAATGTAATATAATATATTATATATATAAATGTTAATATTATTACAATTATATTTTCAAACGTTTCGACCTTTACTCTAGTCATCTTTAGTGAAAAATTATTGTTCTAATGTTTTCCCTTGTCTCGAATGTTGCATTTGTCTTCCTGTTGTTGTCGCATTATAAAAGTTCGTCCAAGATTACTTCGTTTATACTGTGAAGGACATAGCAGATCCTAGATTTGTCTTGGTTACGAAACCTTGTACATTCTTACAATATTTTCCAATATGTTTGATTGTACTATTGTATAATGTAAATAATTATTAATTATTAATCATTAATAATGAAGCTGACTAGTCGAAACGTTTGAAAACATAATTGTAATGTATTAACATTTATATAATATATTATATCGCACTAAAACAACTTGCGCATTGGCTCCAATAACCCATTATTATATTATTGTAATTTATAAATTATTACGTCAATAATTTAATATAATTTTGATAATTTAAAGTAAATTTTATGTATTTATTGTTAACATAAACAAGATCTATATCATGTATATATTAATGTGTCTACTAATGTCACTTATTATAATAATGCATATATTGTAATTTTTTAAAATATAATAAAACTTGCAATTAATGATATAAAATATTTGTCTTGTAAATAAGCATACCCTACATATATGATATCCTACATAATGAGCGTTGAAAGTCTTATTGTATTATTTTACCTATATTGTATATATTGGATTGATGTAATTATATATATTCATTCTATCAATGTTCATATTACAGATTTACATACATTTTTCAAATTGAATGTTGCGCATTAGAAGATATCTAGTGTTCAACACTCTTCATGCTCCGATATCATCGTCAAAGATTTCTCTCTCATACAGCGCTATTTTAATTTTCTCTACCTTTATTTCAGAATGCTTTACGTCAAGCAGCGATTTTTACTCCCTTCGCGGCATTTATTATTCGGTGCCGTGCGACTCGCCGCGATGAGTGCCTTCTTCCTGTGATCTACCGGTCTCTCTTTCTCCTCGTGACACATCTCCGTTCATCTCGCCGTGTGTGCGTCCCCCTTTCCCCTTTCGGTGCGTGCCTTTCGTCTCTCCGGGGCCTCCCCCGACGCGCGTACTAATCAACTTCCTGGATGGGGCACATTATCGGCCTGATTGCAGGCAGATCCCAACGCCGCGGCGCGATACCTAGCCCACCGGCGCGGCGTGGCGACAGATCTATCCGATCTCTCGACAGTCGATCGCGCGCACGAAAAGCACGTCGAAAGCTCTGCGGATGTCACTCGCGCCCGCAACTGAAGCGGTGCAATGATCCTGAACGTAATAGATCGGTTGTGACCTCCTTCGGGGCCTTACCCCCTCGCCTCCCCTCCCCCCCCCGCTCCCCCACCCCTCCCGTCGTCATCGGGGCCAGCGTTCCATCGTGCGCTTGTGCAATTTGCCCTGATGGTTCCCGGTGGTTCACATGAAAGGATCGTCGTGTATCGCGATGCGCTACCGAACGGTTCGCACGTGCCTCGATAATCGTTCGCGAGAAGAATTGTTCGTTCGCCGAATTTGATTTTCAATAGAAAACACAAAGAGCAGGAAGCGAAGCGGAGGATCGTGATAATTCAGGAAGATAATCACGGATTTTCATAAGCATTTTTTGCTGCAACAGTGAAAGCATTTGAATTTTAAATTTACCGTTTTCTTTAAGGTCACTAAAAGAAGTACTAAAAATAGAAGTTTTCTTAACGATATAAAGTTCTAAATAATTTCTTAATAATTTAATCCCTTAAGAAAAAGTGTTTGAATATATTAATTAACTATTTTGTATATTGAAACACTTTTTTCTAAGGGACTGCATTAAAAAGAAGTTTTTTTCAAAAGAGTAATAAAAATAGAATATTTTTAACGCTGTAAATCTTTAAGTAATTTAATTGCGTTAAAGAAAAGTAATTTTATTCTTTAATAATTCTTGACATATACAAACTTATGAAAGAGCTATCGTAAAGGAATAATACACATTTCTTCTACATTTGGTAATCCAGACAAATTGTGGAAGCCAGTGAATAAAAAATCAGGATGATTCGCATTGTGAAAAGGCATAACGCAGTTATAAAGGCCGCGGGATGAAGACTCGCGAGGCCTATTTCGACATTCCTCGTGTTACGTTTCACCTAAAATCTTGAAGCGACGTGTCTTCAGAAGTCTGAAAGATGTCTTTGGGGCAACGTATTTCCGGCGCGGTTGCAGTTCTCCGGGGAGCCTCGACGGAGGCCAAGGAGAGCGGCAGTCATACGTAAAAAGATTTCTTATGGTTTTACCAAAAATTCGGGCTGCTTTTCACCTGGAATATCTTCCAGGTCGTGTGTAGAGGAGATCGAGAAGATGACATCTGAGGAAGAAATCGAGGCCGAAGCGCAGCACAAAGTGACAGCGCTTGATAGGTTACAGATGGTCAGTAAACTTTTTCAAGAATCAAATTTTTATAGTAGAATCAATAAAATTTTCAGTGCGAAATCCTTCTTTATTACTTTCAATTTATTTTCTCAATTATCTTCGCGATGAAAGTGATCAAAGGGTATATGGTGCTCAAAATTAACTTTCATGGAATCTTATTTGCTCCGGGAAGAAAAATATCACGCAGTGTGACTTCATAAAATTTATTACGCATTATGGGGAATGTAGGTGATAGAATGGATGGGAAATAACTTGCTTCTGGCACTAACCATCACTGGAGTTTTGATGGGTCTAGTTCTCGGGTTTCTGGGTCGATTGGCAGATTTTACACCGCAATCTATAACCCTCGTCAGCTTCCCGGGAGAGCTTCTTATGCGGATGTTGAAGATGTTTATCTTGCCACTCATCATCTCATCGTTAATATCCGGTAATTATAATTCACTGACAATCCATTTTTGAGCAGATAATGAATAGAACAAGGGAAAGGAAAAGATAAAATTTTTAATTGCTTAAAGATTAAAAACAAAAATTTAATTTCGAATGTCAGAGTTTTGTGTTGAAATAGCAAAGATATTATGCCTGTTCTAAACTTCTTGTAGCGTTCATCTTTTTTTTCCAATATGAACAGAAAAGAAGAAAGATGAATTGTATAAAGAGTTCAGATGAAAAAACCAAATCTGTTATACGCTTAAAACTTTTCAACTTATCTCTACATATCTCCCTCATCCCCGAGGTACAAGCAATTACTTATTTCAGGAATGGCACAGCTGGATGTTCAAAGGTCAGGAAGGATAGGATTCAGAGCATTAACGTACTACTCAATAACGACCATTCTCGCCGCTATAGTGGGTATTGCGATGGTGCTGATGATTCATCCGGGTAATCCGCAGATCAAAACTTCGGCCGCGGCGATGGTGAAAGCTGAGGAGACAAAAGTTTCTACTGTAGACGCAATTCTCGATATAATTCGGTATGAAAAATCAACCTCTATAACTCCACAATCACAATTTAAGTTCGAAATCTTTTGTAATCTTTCGTTCTTAGAAACATGGTGCCGGAAAACCTGGTGCAAGCGTGCTTCCAGCAGGTTCAGACCTCCTATGTGAAGAAAAAGGTGGTCGTGATTGGTAGCGCGAATCAAAGCGAATATATAGTGGAGCCGATCTTGGTTTACAAGGACGGCACAAATGTGATGGGTATGATCGTGTTTTGCATCATCTTCGGTGTACTCGCGGGACAGATAGGACCACGCGGCAAACTGATGGTGGATTTTTTCGTCGTGTTGAATGAGATTATCATGAAACTCGTCACGATCGTCGTTGTTTGGTATGAAACAATAAATAATTTCACACGAGCACAAATTTAATAAATAATTAAATATATAACATTATTCAATTTTATTTTCCAGTTTTTGGAATATACTAATCAATAAAAATATAACTTAATTTGACATATAATACCCACACGCGCGCGCGCACACATACACACACACACATATAGGGTGACTTACAATTACCGCATTTCCTCTTATTATTCTTGAGATAATTTTGAGACGAAAATCCTAATACGAAAATGTCGAGCTACAATAAGTCAAAAACGGTTTTACTTTTAGAGCCTCAATTATTATTTCTGGATTCTAAGTCGAAAATTCTAATACAAAAATATCGAGGCTATAATAATATAGTTTTCGAATTACACACTATCTTTAACTAATTATATAATTCAAAAACTATTGTAGCTTCGACAATTTGTATTACAATTTTTGTCTCAAAATTATCTCAAGAATACGTTCTTAAGAGGAAATGCAGTAATTGTTAAATCCTGTATACATATATATGTATGTATATATATGTATGTATATATATATATAT